TATACTAATTCCCTTGTGTAGTCTTCTATATTTTGTTCACTTAGATTAAATCGCATATCATTACTTGATTTCTTTGCATAAAAATGTTCCATGGATTGATGTTGGTTAAAGAATCATTGTTGGTTGCATTTGTAACTTGAATTTTTGAGCTTGCCTATTCCTTATCTTTCATCCTTCTCTTTCACATTATGTTTAGACCTGATTTGCCTAGGAGTGCAAAAGCTAAGTATGGGGGAATTGATAAGCCTCATTATTTGCATATATTTCTAGCCCTAAACTCATGCTTTTACCATTTATATTTGCATATTTTGGGTATAATTAGCTTTCATTGTGCATAAGAGTTAGTGAAGGAAGTTGTGAGGTTTTCTTTGTGTTTTTGCATGACTTTATGTGATTTTATTGTGTGTACTTTTGATCCTTGTTTGGTGTGAATTTTAGGGAGCTTCACTAGCATTCTTGCCATTCTGTCATAGGAGCCACGACGAATAGGGAAAGGCCCTGTGGCGGATTTCCAAAGATACTCTCGGTAATAGGTGCCACAGCAAATGATCAAAGGCGCCACAACTGACCAAGTTTCACAAGAAGCTCAGGATCACTAATTGAAACGACACCGTATAGGCTAGGTGCCACAGCGCATATCATAAGGCACCACAGCGGATGACGAAAGACTTCAGATTTAAATACAGAAGTCGCGCGCTCAAACAAGGGAGTCCAGATTCAGTTCTTTACCCTCAAGATCATGGATTTTCTTGTTCTCTCAGCCTTCTCTCAACTCTCTCTCCCATTTTTGTCCAAATCCATAATCTTCCACCAATCATCTATGAATCTTTCATTGATTCTTACTGTTTCTACTGCAATTCAGAGCATGAGCGGCTAAATTCCCAAGTTCTCCTAGCAATGAAGCTGACCTAAGTTCATGGAGCTAAATAGGGAGTCTTTTCAGATTTGATTTCCACTTTCTATTCTAAGATTCATTTGTATCAGTTGAACATTTGTGATTAGAATGAAAACTGAGGGATTAGATTTATGTTTCTTGGAATTTAGATCTGATTGAACATTTAGATGTGAGTTGTATCCTTTGATTCAGTTGAATAAAGGACTCTCTGTTAATTTGTAAATCTAATTTGTTTTACTCGGACTGTTGTTCTCTAATTTGAAATTTGATTGAATGATTTGATGATTCACAGTTGTTGTCATCTTTAGAGAATTGCAACTTGCTTCTCAAGTGTTCTTGTCAATTGATTTTCCTCCTCTACAAAGCAAGACAATGAATCTAGTAAGATAGCTGTTACTGACCTGTGTTTAGAGAGATTTGAGTAGTAGCTGAATCTATCCATTAATTGACTCTAAAAGATCTCCAAATTATCGAAATGAAATGTTCTGCCTATGGATATAAAACTTATAGAGTGTACTTTAATCATTCCAAATTTTAGAATCAAATACAAAGATTAAATTATTCAAAATAGGCATCAAAGCAGATGCTATAACTATCACATACCTTGATCTTGAAGCTTGAATCTTGTTCCTTCTCTTGGCCTTTACCCCAACCTTTTTCTCTCTAAATTTGGCAAAGTTTTTCTCTCTACAAATGGCTACCAAAATGTTCTTCCAAGGTGGGGTATTTATAGCTAAAATCTTGGCTTGAATGGACTAAAATGCTCTTGGACGCTATAGAAAGGGTAAGGGTAATTTTAGAACTTCAAGTTAACTTTTACATCCTCATTGCATCATCTTCTTACATCATCCTTACCTTATTCTTCTAGAAAGTGCTAGGTGTTACAAAAGTGGTAGAGGAGAAGGCAAATTAGATCTAGCCATTATATCAACTTATTTCCCTAAGTTTCCTCCTACTTTACTTGATCCACGTTTCTTTGACTTTCTTATGGCCTTTCGGAGCTCAAAAAATTATCCTGTCTACTCTATAAATTCTCTTTAATTCTATAGAATATCTATGAATTTTCTCAAGTCATAACACTTCTTTTAAGCCTTACATAAAAATCATTGACTAAAATGCCCTTTTATCAGCATAATCGGCCTTTTAATTTATTAAAGCTATTACATTGGTCTTTTGGTTATGGGACTAATTTTATAAATTATTAAAACCTTTCAAACATTTAACCTCATTTTTATGTACATTTTTGAGGTCTCTTGCTATTTTAAAAAATTACCTCAAACAGTATATGTTTTACTTGCTATAACCTTATAAATTCTATTTAAGCTGTCTCAGGGGTATTTTTATTATTTCTCTTTACAAAAGAGTCTTAGAATATTATTTCCTATTTTTTAGAATTTTCTCAGAATTTTCTGTGTACTTTCCATTTTTACCCCTGATAGCCGTAACTTTCTAAATTTACGGTTATACCCCTGCTTAGGCTCAACCTCATAAAACTATCTCTTTGAGACTTTTAACTTAATCTTTGGCCTATATCTAGCCTTTTTTTCTCTTTCTGGGCATTTAAGACCTTACTAAAGCCTTTAACTTTGATTACTCTTTAGTCCCTGCAAACTTTTACTTTACAGTTTAGTCCCTGAAAATGCTTTTACGTCCTTTCTTATCTTTGGGACTTTTGCTAAAAAAGGTCTAGTAGCCTATCCAATTCAGGCCATTTCTAGTACTTTTAGACCCAAAAAATGGGATGTTACTAAGTGCATACCTAATAACTCTTACCTTAGAGATTGAATCAATAATCCAACCATTGACATTGACAAGCTAGATATCCCACACAGACAGACCACATTCTAGCCTGATCTAATAGTCTATGGACTCATACATGACACTTTACTGAACTGTCTCAATTATGTGCAAAAATTATTTAACTTGTTCTTAACTCCCCCTGCTACCACCTATATACAGGCTCATAGAGTCCCATCTTCCCATTATTTAGTCGATGTGGGATTTCTTAAATTTGTTATTTTATTCATTAATTCATATATGTATAGTTATACACATATACCCATGCATACAATCAAAATTATTTTAATCACTTATATATATTTAACTTCTGTTAAATCAATGCTAATAAATATTTACTTATAAATTTACTTTATTTTTAGGGATAAAAAAAGTTAGGATGTTACAACAACTCACAAAGTAAGTTAAGGATTCTCTTAAGGGTTTAATTACCATGATTAGTGGGATTTAATTTTAATGGAGTATGGCTAAAATTCTAAGAAACCATGCTGCCAAAATGGTATGAAACATGATATGAATGATTTAAAGTTGTCTTAGGGATTAAAGAACCAAAAAAATGTTGGAAACTTGTATTGCAACTTGGTTTATGAAAGAATTCCAACTTGTCACCCATGTGTTTCGACCAAGGAGAGAACTTGGGGTTAGAGGTTGATTCATATCAATTTGATGCTTTCAACAAGTTTAGATGATTAAATTGTGTAGGAAAATGTTAAAGGAAAGTAATTGGAAATATCGGAATCGAAATTGAAATTTTGAATCTAAAACCTCCCATCGCTCAGCCAAACTCAATTAAGTAGGAAGGAGTCGGATTTTGATGAATTCAAGTTTAAATATGGATTCTACATGCAAAATCATGTAGGAAAAATATGTAAGAATTATTATGAGAAAAGATGACACAAAAATCCTAAAGATTAGAGAAAGCGTTAAGGAAATTTGGAAGAAGAACTTAAGAATTTATATATAGGCCATATGAGTTTATACATAGAATACCCCTATAGACATTGATTATTTGCAAGAGGAGCCCCAAGAACAATGGAAAAGAGGCAAAGATCAAAGCTTGAAAAGAGGTAGTAAGAACTTATAACTTTGGTGTTAACTTGCATTGTTTGTTTGTTGCTACATGTTTTTATGACATGAGGTGGATGCACTAGCTATGATGTGAAGTGTTAAGCTCCTTGCATTTGATGCCTTAGCAATATGTATAGTTGAGTTGTTGAATGATATGATTATGAGCTTCCTTTCCATGGAATGATAATACTAGTGGATGCATGAGAATGATGATTGATATATAACATGACATAATGTTACATTATTAGCATTTTTGTTGTAGTTCATTACTACTGATATTTCTATGAAATATCACCCTTTCCCTATCTAAATTTAGGAGTTGGCTCATCAAAAGGTAAGGGAAAAGATATGGAAATACCATGAAGAATTATATGCCATACCATAGAATTGTGAATTTTTTGTCTTAATTTATGTACATTTATAAATGACTATGGATGCTTTAAGGAACATATAACCTTACATATATGTGGATCATGGTCACAATACGATTATGTGACAGTATGCATAATGAACGGCTTGATCATAGCATGAATTGCCTAAGAATGGGAATTAAAAGGGATAAAAAAATTACTTTATTTGCTATAATTTGGTGACCACAAGATTTTGAGTAAATGGACGAATTTGGCCAAGATTTGGCAGGTTAAAAATGGCCATCTTGAGCTTTAAATAGAGTGGTAAATCACTTAAATTATAGTTGTGTACAAAAAGTTATAAATTTTTGAAGTTCTGGTAAAAATCTGAGAAAGAAATAATTTACCAAATGAACAGTACATCTTTAAGCTGAAATAAAACTCGGCTGGCAAGGCAATCTATTGAGTTTTGTTTTATGCAGACAATTGAAAGGATTTTAAATAGAACTTGAAACCACTTCATCTTAATTTTTCTAGTATTAGTTATAAATTTTTAAAAGTGTCTAAAAATTTCAAGGTTACCCCTTGAGTAGTTAACTGAAATTTTTTTTTTTGAAAACATGATTTTCTAATCGTGAGGTCATGAAATGTGATTGCTTTTGACTCTGTTTGATTGGTCATATGATAAAAAGAGAGACATTACAGTATTGATCTTATATGTAAGAATTATTTTACATGTTTATCAATTTTTTTCCAAATAAACTCTATTAACATTCCCTTAACAAACAATAATCAAATAGGAAGAGGGGAGAAGGAAATTAAGAAAGATGATTAGGATATTTAAAAAAAAACATATCAAATTAATTAATTTAACTAAGATTTTAATGTACTTAAATTAGATAATTAGATCTTACATCAAGCATGAGGATTAACTCATTTTGTGAATGTTACATCTAGGGAAAAAAAACCATATAGAGAGCAATCATGTCATCAGTTAGATTCAACAACATCCAAGCAAACCCACAGCTTTTTTCTTTTCTTTTCTTTTCTAATTAAAAAAGAACTCACGTTTCACTACACGGCCCATTTCATAATGTCGCAGAGGACGTTTGTGAAAATACAATAGGAGCTTCCACCTGCATCTTCATTTCACTGAACTTGAGAGCTAATATGGGTTTGGATAACATCACACAGGTGCTCATGTTGTGCGTCTCATTTTTAATACGTCCAATATCCTCTTTTCTGTCATCATTTGTCATTGTGGGAGTTGCCCGTGAAACTGTCAAAGGTTGCACTGCTTGCACCCTACATTTCAATAATTCATAGCAACACCAAGTTATGTATCAGATTGGAGGTGAATAAATATTCAAAAGCCCAGGAGAAGCAAACAAACCTGCATTCAATTTGGCAAGAGTACTTAAGTAAGTTAGGATTATACTCTGTACCCCCACTGCAACGTTATATAACAGAGATCATTACATGACATCTAAAACTGTGAAGAGAATGCCTCGACTAGTTTTACCTAAAGCTTGGAAGTGACATTTTGATTGTTGGACCCATCCATTGCTTAACATTCAAAGCAGGTACTGCTATATACATATCGTCAGCCTCACCCAGATAAATAACCGTATCTGCGATAAAGAAATTCAGAGACATTCAAGGCATCAAATCCGCTCACCAGCACTTGCGAGACTGATATTATACAGATCAGGGCTCTTGATTTCGGTTACTTGTACATCTTCCATCCCATTGCATGAGGAGGCATGAATTCCCATTGTGTCCAAAAGTCCGCTCTTCTTCCTCGTAACTGCTGAAATTCTCTGTTTCAGGAATTAGCTTTAATCAGGTTTTATTATTGTGGACCTAGTAACTAACTAGAGCTCAACTGATATGATGTAAAATTTTCTTATCATATTAACAGAGTAAGTTTTTGTTGACTAACAATATTATATATGCAAAATCACAGAAATAAATATAAATATGAACGGAGAATAGACAAATGCAGGGGATTCGATTCAAAGAATTAAGCACAAGAATCAAAACGGGGGGATACATTGCAACAATATATCAAAAACATTCAATTAATAAAGCAAAACCATGACCTACTTTCGAAAATCTCGCCACTTGACTGGGGAGGCCCACCTCCTGCAAAAAGTACGGCAAGTTAATGAATGCATCGCATCAAAACATGACGTGCGTGATATGACTTTGCAGGTGGGGCTGCGGCCAATGCCTTATAGCTTGAGAGCATAAAAACCCTCTTAATTTCACTTGGTGCCTCAAGGGCCTGCCTCTTAAATTTAAAAAATAAAAATAAAAAACAGAGAATTTGTAGATAAAACCTTGCGTCCATGATCGCAAGCCCGATCACTGTTCACATAGACTCGTGCAGCCCATCTGTTGGTCATGCGGTAATAATTAATAACGTGATATAATAATCCCAACATGTAAATATATAAAAGCCTTTTTGTGTCCGCTCCTAGGTTCTGATCTGAACATATAATCTAATCTAATCAACTACTAGATGGTGGGTTTCAGATTCCCTCTCTCCCACGTCAAGCTGCAATTTGCTCACTCCACTTGCACAAAACTTTGGCTGCCAACCAAGTTTCGGCTTTTTAAAGATGGATTCACATCAAAATTAATGAATAATATTGTAGCAAGATATGTGACAGCGATCCAATCTAAATGCGAATCACGGCAAGAAAGAGCAATAACATGGATATTACAGAAACATACGCGCAGGATGTTGGGCGGTTCCATACGATTCCGGCGATCACCACCAACTGTGAAACATTACAAACTGATGATGTTAGTATCACTAAACATTAATTCAGTCATCTTCAACCATATTGACCATATGACGGAGAAATGATAAACACGGTAATGAATCCCTGCTGTCAAATATATGTACTGTGCCATTGATAATATTGTGGCTGTTCTGTTCACCAAAAAAAAAATAATAATAATATCATGGCTGTTCCTAAATTTCTAGAGCGGAATATGCATATGAGTCCAGAGAGAGATATATAGACAGAATAATGGATTGTTCATATCCGATGGGATCCGTCTATTCTTAATTGTTCGGACCATGCAGTCACAGAGAATCTTGGACAATCATTATGATGAACTAATTGAATTTTATAAAATTACGGAGGTTCTTATTAATTTCCAGAGTAAGAATGTGCATAACCTCGTCAAATACACCTGCTGGACTGTCCTCATAGTTGGCGAGGAAAAAACCACCAAGTGTGTATCTGTAATAAGCCAATGGTTAAACACAAAATCAAATCCCGCAATTCCTTGAATGCATTTCGGTTAAGAGCAGAGCAACTTCATTAAAATTAGCTATTTACCCAAACAAGAATGCACGCTCGAGCTTTTTCAGCTTTCACAAGATGGAGCTGATACACGGCGCTGAATAATAGAGCAGCAAGCATAGTAGCAAGACAATTGAATCCCTCGCCTAACCGCAAATTGACAAACACACAAGGGAACAGAGAATGATCACTTGCCTGCCTTTGAATTTCCAAGGAGGCTCACCATATCCGCGCCAAGAATTTGATTTTCCACTTTTCATGAGTAACAAATCGAATTCTCAGAGAAAAGGAAGCGGTACTCTTTTGGGTACTGAAACTGGCAGTGTTTGAGAAAAATGCAGATGAACGAAGAAGCCAAGGAAAAAGAAAGGTTTGATTTGATGTGGTTTGGTTATGGAAGGGGGGAAATGAAAGCCGCGTTAGAGTGAGGTAGAACAAGACGACAAGGAGAGAGAAGAACCGACATACAGAGGAAGGAGAAAGAAAGGCATAAATGGATAGAAGTCGATAGATTTAAATTATTTTATACAAATTATGAGGGCCAAACAACGGCCTAACCTTTGGCGCCAAGTGAAAATAACAACAGCACCAACCCCAAATATTATCAACTTGCCAAAATACCTAGCCAATCATATCATTTCCGCTTTTTTCCTTGCTTTGTCCCATTTTTATAAATATTACTTTCTTATCTTTTTCTTTTATCTTTGTCTCCTTCCCCCTATTCCCACATCAATTAATTTGCATCTCATTTCTTCTTGCTGCCCATGCCGTTTCAGGATCCATGAAGTAATCCAGCATTCCGGCCCGATCACTTTTATGGATTTTACTCTTTTATTTCTTTTTTTGGTCAAAGATCAGGAGTTTTACTCCGATGATTTGTGACAGGAGAATGACATTTTCATGCCATAGAGAGCTATTTAATTTCATTTTAGAAATAAAAAAGATTTGAAATTTTAATTAAGGGATCAACTCATCAAAGCTGTTGAGCAGTACAAATTCAATTTTAATTTTTTTAAAAAAATCAACTTAACATTTGTCTTCCGAAATTTGATACTGGTAATAATTTAAAATTGATAGTTTTCAAAATACATCACGTAATACTGAAAAAAAATTATAAATTTATTCAAGAGTTTGACATTAATTTTCTAAGTTTTGATATCTGTTCTTCTAAAACGTTACTTAATAATATAGGGAATTTAAATACTTGTTGCTTCATTTATCTAGTTGCAAAAGATTGATACGAGTATTCAAAATTAAATTATGGGATACTTTGCAACTAATTTTTTAAAATCTAACAAGAAACATTCAAAGACATCTAAATCTTTTTTTTCAATGTTCTTTGTTAAATTTTAGAAAACAATTGCAAATTTTTATATAGATAGTATTAAATTTTTGGGAATACTTTCTCAAAATAAATTGGACTGGGTTTTTATGACTCCTTACTTACCTAAGCAAAACTCAAAACTAACACACACATTTGATTTGGTTTTGAAACTTTCAATGTGATTGCCTCAATGATTGTTCTTCCAAGCTTAGAGATACGGACACATGTGCCATTGCTTAGATCTACTGCTTGATCAATATTCCTTGGCAATATAATTGATCCTACAATCTTTAGGATTAGATTATGTGGCAAAAATCGTGAGCTATTAATTATATTAAGGAACTCAGTAGTGTAAAGGTTGTCAAAACTGTCATTGTCATCAGTAGCTTGACATATTGTATCACAACTAAAGAAATATGTTTTCACAAAGAGCACATATAGGCCGTCACATCTCAAATTTTAGGCCTAGAAGTCTAAAAAGTAGTCTAAAGGAGATAGGCTACTAAGTCCCTTTGAGCAAAGGTCCCAATGATGCGAAAGGAAGCTAGAATAAGAATAGAGACTAAACTGTCAAATGAGAAAGTCTTTAGGGGCAAAAGTGTAAATAAAGTCAGCGGCTTTAGAAGAGTCTCAAGGGCTCAAAAAGAGAAAATAGGTCAGGTGTAGGCCGTGCAGTCCTCAAAGTAATAATTCATGAGGTTGAAATGAAGCAGGAGCAAAACTTTGACTTCAAAAATTTACAAGCCAATAGGGTTAATTATGGAAAGCATACAAAAAAATTTTAGAAAAATCTCAGAAAATGAGAAATGAGGTATGAAGGCTCATTGAAGGTTTAGAATGATGAAAATACCCCTACAATAACTTAAATGAAATTTTATGATAAATAGCTTGATCTGAGGTATTCAGATAAATGCAATTATTTGGGTAATAAGCAGATCTCAAAAATGTACACAAAAATAAAGTTAAATAGTTAAAAGGTTGTATAATTTATATACTTAGTTCTACTCTCAAAAGGCTAGTAGAATGGCTTTAATAATATATATATATATAAAGCCCAATTATGCCGCTTAAGTGTATTTTAAAGAATGATTTTAAGTAGGGCCTACAAGATGAGTCATGGCTTGAGAAAATTCATAGATTTCTCTAAAAGTAAAAGAAATTTTTGGAGTAGACGGAATAATTTTTTAAAGCTCCTGAAAGCCATAAAGAAATCTTGACAAACAAGAAATCTCTAAGAAAAGACGAAAGCATTTATGGCTCATAATACAGTATGTGTCACACCTTACTATAATATTGATTTAGGTTCCTTTCAAAATCATTTTAGACCACGTTGGATGGTCTTGTGCTCACTTTTTACTATAAAACGCTAATTTTCGGATTTGTACTGTTCATCGGGTAAAAATCCAGTTTTTTCTCCCAACTTCAAAACTTCAAATTAATAACTTATTCTACAAAACTCCAATTGGGTGGTTCAAAATTCTACTTAAAGCTCTTTAAGTTCTCTTTTAAGGAAAATAATCTCAAGGGCCAATTCTTTATGAAAACACGTCAGATTTTTGTGGAACACCCGTTCTGTCCAGTGCCAAAATTTCTTTTTCCCAGATCTTTCCTTTAACTTTGGAAATTCACCAAAAATCGTATACTTGTTCATTTTTAACGTATTAGACATAAATTTGAAGCTCAGGACATTAATTTCATCATGCCAAATTCAGAATTAATCGCGTTCTGGAACATAATCAAAAAGTCACGCAAACCGGTCAGGGTCAGTGTGCTTCTAGCACTGTTAGTTTAATATTTACATAACCAAAATGAGCTCACGAATTTTGTGGCTAAATCCCAAAAATTAGCCTTCAATCTGTAGCTTCCCCTTGGAGGATTCAGGTCCTAAAATGTTACATTATTTTTGAGGGATGAGATTTTTGAAAATCCCAGTAGCAAATTAACCAACTATAACACCAAGCAAGCATCATTATTATGTATGATCATATTAGCTACTATTAGTGAACTAACATGCTTATCATTTGGCAAACTCAAACATGCAAAGGCCAAAGCAAGATACTATAAAGAGCAGCCACATAACAATCAAGAAAGCTCAACCACAATAATAGTAATTAACCATACAATAATCAACAATGCTAGTTAGTGGTAGTAGCTAGGTTTAACTTACTACCTTGCTCCAAAAGTCTTAGCTTTTCTTCCTTCTCCTCTTTCCCTTAGCAAATATCAAACCCTAACCATGTGATCCAACAAAAAGGGCAGCCATAATCATTTTTTAACCATGAAAAAGCAAGAACACAAATTAAAACAACTCTTGAACCATAAAGCTTCAACCTTGGTTCACTACTTTTTGGATTTGGTTCTCTTTAACCCTAAAAATCACACCTTGACCTAACCCTCCAAAAATTAGCCTTCAATCTGGTATCTTCCCCTTGGAGGAGGATTCAGGTCCTAAAATGTTACATTATTTTTGAGGGATGAGATTTTTGAAAATCCCAGTAGCAAATTAACCAACTATAACACCAAGCAAGCATCATTATTATGTATGATCATATTAGCTACTATTAGTGAACTAACATGTTATCATTTTGCAAACTCAAACATGCAAAGGCCAAAGCAAGATACTATAAAGAGCAGCCACATAACAATCAAAGAAAGCTCAACCACAATAATAGTAATTAACCATACAATAATCAACAATGCTAGTTAGTGGTAGTAGCTAGGTTTAACTTACTACCTTGCCTCCAAAAGTCTTAGCTTTTCTTCCTTCTCCTCTTTCCCTTAGCAAATATCAAACCCTAACCATGTGATCCAACAAAAAGGGCAGCCATAATCATTTTTCAACCATGAAAAAGCAAGACACAAATTAAAAACTCTTGAACCATAAAGCTTCAACCTTGGTTCACTACTTTTTGATTTGGTTCTCTTTAACCCTAAAAATCACACCTTGACCTAACCCTACATGGTTTTTCATGTAGAACTCAAATATATGCTCAGATCTAGCAAAATAAATGACCTCCTTCAGTTTCATGTTGACCGAACCACTAGGGATTTTTAACCAAAAATCACACACTTTGCTTTAAAGCTTCCAACACTTGTTTCCTTTGGTTTACCCTACACCATTTCTCATTTAAGCATAATGAAAGCCTTAAAACAATGAAAAAATCATCCTAGGGTTCAGTTTACCTCTTGAGCGAAATGATCACTCACAACAACAACCATAAAAAAATGCTTTAAAACAACTTAAACTCACTTGCAAATACTAGGATCTAGCTTGTGTTGTTGTGTCTTAGCAAGTGTAATAATCAAAACTCCTTTCACTTTTTTTAACAACCAGTTAGGCCAGCCACAAGAGAGGGAAGAGACATATTTTAAACCATAAAAATGAAGAAAACAAAGTAAGAACACCTCTAGTACCAAGATCTAACCTTGAAAGCTTGCTTGAATGACAAAGGTGCCTCCTTTTTCTTCTTGTTTCCTCTCAAGCTCTCTCTTTTTCTCTTGCTCTCTCTTTTTTGGACGAAATGGACATCTAAAAAATGGGGAGGAATGAGCTGATTATTGGCTCAAAATATCTCAAACCACCTTCTTTATGATAATCCAAGTGTCATTACCCTACTAAGTCTTGATTCCTCTCTCTTAATTAACATAATTCCAAAGAAATTATTTACTAAAGTCAAAATCCTCTCCATTCATGGAATGACACTTGGCTAATTCAAATCTTCTCCTTCAAGAGCTTGACACTTGGCTCATTAGGATCCCTTGGATTTGCAAGACACCAATCTTGCTTTATCAATATATCCTTAGGCTCTGAGTTTAACTTCTTTTTCTATAATTACAGTAGCTTAGCCTCTGTAATTATTTTCTGTCAAATCCTTAATTTATTCATTCTCATTATTATCTTCCCAAATTGCCCTCTTTGTCTCAAAATTAATTTCCTAATATTTAAATAAAAAGAAAAATTAATTTCCTTCTCTTTAGAGATTTTTCCACTTTTCATCATTATTTGGAAAAATCTTGGACACTTGAGGGTCTCCATTTAATTGCATAATTCCTTATAATTCCTTAGCGATCTCATAGGATTTTCTTGGAATTTTATTCCCCTTAAAAAATATTTATTTGGAATTTCCAAATAAAATCCCTTAATTAGCCTAAATCACCCT